GTTAGCGATTATACCAATTCAACGCCGAGTCATACTTTTTTTCTCAACTATCGGAGTGACGTTCATTTTCTACCACATATCGCGGTGTTAGATTAAATCAAACCTTCAAAACGGACGAATCTTGTAACTATTCCAATGCAATCTGGCATTGTATTGCCTACAAAGGTTTAAGCTGCTATACAACTGCATGAGTTAGTATGTTGTTGATAAAAGAAGCAAAATTGGAAATCAAATTCGTCTTTATTCATTTAAATTACTTCAAGGGATTAAACAGTAATGTCTATATTTCTATCTATAAATCATTTGTTGTCCTGACCAACGGTATTTCGATCTACCCATTCAGACGTGACTGTTGTGGAAATTTCCCATATTGACCTGCCAATTATCCAGTGCATTAAATACATGTAGATGACATTTGAAATGATTCAGTTTGTTATTTACATTCTGTGATTCAAATTTGTTTTTTTAATTATATTTACCGATGTAAATACCCCCAGAACTATTGTATATCAGGCATAGAAAATCGAACAATTTAGTTCTGTTCTGAATGTTTTCTAACATCACTAGATTGCTAAAGATTTATTATTGCTTAACATGGTGAATATCACCTGGTGATACCTAATCTGATGATACTTACCTCGATGCTGCTTAACCTAGTGCCACTTTCGCTAGTTATACTTAAGCTAATGATACTAAACATGATGACACTTAACCTGACTATGCTTAACCTAATCATTCGGATACTTACCTTGATGATACTTAACTCTGTGATACTCACCTTGATGTTACTTAACTCGGTGATACTTACCTTGATGTTACTTAACTCGGTGATACTTACCTCGATGTTTCTTAACCCGGTGATACTAACTTTGATGATACTTAACTCGGTGATACTTACCTTGATGTTACTTAACCCGGTGATTCTAACCTTGATGTTACTTAACTCGGTGATACTTACCTTGATGTTACTAAACTCGGTGATACTTACCTTGATGTTACTTAACTCTGTGATACTTACCATGATGTTACTTAACTCGGTGATACTTACCTTGATGTTACTTAACTCGGTGACACTTACCTCGATGTTACTTAACCCGGTGATACTAACCTTGATGATACTTAACTCGGTGATACTTACCTTGATGTTACTTAACCCGGTGATTCTAACCTTGATGTTACTTAACTCGGTGATACTTACCTTGATGTTACTAAACTCGGTGATACTTACCTTGATGTTACTTAACTCTGTGATACTTACCATGATGTTACTTAACTCGGTGATACTTACCTTGATGTTACTTAACCTGACGATCAATAACCTAATGATACTCTACTTGGTTTTACTAACGACATCATAACATTTATTTATGATCATTAACTTTCGTTCCTTAGTTATCACTCAAAATGACATCCCCTGCTTAAAAGTTTTGATCTAGAGTACTTGAATGAATGCACCTTTTCTTCGGCGTATATGTACACTGTACGCCAAAAGCAGGATATTTTTTACACTGATTCATGTTTAAATATATCAGAGGTTTTGAACGAGAGCTCTGTACCTACATCTGAAGTTGCTTTGTTAAATTTTTTTTTCAGATTTGCTACTGACCCCTTGTGGTAGTGACAAAAACTTCACCAACACCACCTACATGTTACACGTACCTGATGGAGTCACGTGGGTTCGATTACAAGAGGTTCACGACGGGGAGTTATTCACTATACTGCGACAGTGTAAGATGAATTATCATTTGTATCAATTAATTCTGTTTTAGGTATTAATCTCATTATATTTCTTACATTTGCTTTTTGTTTGAAGAACGAAACAGCTCTATGATGCAGTTTAATTTATTGTTTGGCTCTACTGTATCTCGCTCTAAATCGTGAGAAGGTGCTGTGCAATAATCTGACGTATGAAAATTACGAAATTTATCTAATATTGGGACTGCTTCACCTCCCTGTCTAGAATTTGATTTTACTTTTAATCAGTTTGGATTTCCTCAGTCGCCATCATAGGCTCCAAAGTGTGGGGCCCTTCGCATCATTGACGAGTCTTAGAAGGACGAAACAGCTGTATGATGCATTTTAATTCATTGTTTGACTCTACTGTATCTCTCTCTAAATTATGAAAAGGTGCTATTCACTTGTGTGCCTTTTGTACAATCTTTGTTACTTAAAAATATACCAGGCATATCGAAATAAACATTCATTCGATATGATACAATAGTATTGTACGTTATACATTTTATTTGATAGGGGGCGGGGCTATTGATTGTTTAAACTGGATAGGGGGCGGGGCTATTGATAGTTTAAACTGGACAGGGGGCGGGGCTATTGTTAGTTTAAACTGGATAGGGGGCGGGGCTATTGATAGTTTAAACTGGATAGGGGGCGGGGCTATTGATAGTTTAAACTGAGGAACAGTGTTTTATGATACAGATCTGAAAATATCTCAGTGTTGTCAAACAATGACATGTTATATATGGAAACAAGCATATTATCGATATATAATAGAATGGTCAGGCATTCTTATGTTTACTGAAATATAATTTTTAAAATAGTGACTAAATAAAATGTGAAATAATACACATGGTGTCATATATTTACATTATTAGGTAAAGATTCCAAAAAGGAAAAAAAGATGTCAACTCATAGGCATGTATTGACATCACCGTAGTGGTACTTAGTAGTCGATATAATTTCAGACTATTAGAAACGCTACATAGCATTTTCTCAACGAAATCAATACGAGGGTTATTAACATATACATCGCCTGGCACAATGTTCTCTTAAATATCAACTGGTATTTCGAAGCAAACGCTTATTTTATTTCAATTTCACTTTTAGAGATACTTAATGACTTGTCTGCGAGTAACAAGAAACATCGTGCTAAAGACACCACTAGGGGGTGGGGCACCAATAATGATCATATGAGGCGGGGGATCTATACCTTAATCATAGCGATACCACGGCCAAAAGATCAATTTTTGAATAGATACATAAGGTTTTAAGATTATTTGTGCATGTACTGCAGCAGGACAAGTTCTTTTATAACAAATTGTTTTTCTTTGTCTAAATATTAGTTTTTTCAAACACTTCAACTAAGTCTCGCAAAATGCTTGGCGCTTGGCATATGCATGCTTAAACGTTTTTCTAATCTTTTGACACGCAGTTTTACATCAGTTACAAGTTGTAATACTATTTCAGCAGAATGTTTATGATCATGACATGACAATAAAACATACAAGCTGTAATTTTCGGATTGCGTGCTGTTTACTCGTGGGTGGAGGATTCATGTTGACTTACTTTTTTACGATTTGCATTGTTTTCCTCTGTGTCTCCAAGGTACAACAGAAACAAACAGATTTTGTATCTCCACATAACATATAAATACACTATAACGTGGCATGATAATGCACATTCGCTCTTTCTAGAATTGGAATGAATTATCTCAGAGTCATACTTTTGATATATGGTTCCATCCTTTGTACAAAGGTCACAAAAATTAAGTGGAAATTGGTGTTGTTTACATTATTGTCTAAACGTTTACGCATGCTCAAGAAGTAACGAGACTACCGTCATGTAACTAGAGTACGCATGCACGTGACTTACATAAATGTAAACTACAACACAGTATGAGGGAGAAATGTGGAGACATGTCTTATCGAAAAAAGAAAACACCAACTTGTCAACATAAGCAGACTCCTAAAAGAGTACAAGGAGAATAAGACCAAGTGTTCCGGAAGAGTAAGCGTCTTCTGCTTCATCGACGTCACCCGCCATGTAAACCTTGTTTAAAATAAGTGTCACGCTGCTAAATGGAAAAAAGTACATACAACAACGGAACTCACAGACAACGAGCATTAAACACGTTCAGTAGAGCGTCAAGAATAAGAATAAACGCTTTAAAGTGTAGTTGTTGGAACTGATAGCCTCACCTGGGACACTAACCTAACGACACTGTATAGTCATAAACCAATTCTAAGGGCAAAAACGTCGTAAAAAATGAATAGGCATAACCCCTCTTCCCCGCCATGTCAACATATGAATTGACCCTTTAAACCAACATCGAGCTCGCACTCGCATTTCTATCTTCAATACGAAAATTACAGCTTGCCTGCATGTTCTATTTCTATGTCATAAACATTCTGAAGTAATATCGCAACTTGTAATTGCTGTTAAACAGCATGTTTAAAGATTCTGAAGAGAAAATCTCCATTAAAAAACTAAATTTAAATCAAGGTTTAAATTTCCCTACTCTACTATCAACATTATGGTCCCTTTCCCCCCTGGTTTGCTTTAACACAATGAGAAATCTGTTGACCATGCCAATCATATACATATATGCTCATCAAAATTCCTAAACACATTAGCTGCTTCTCTCTTTTATTGTCCTTGCATGTACAATGTCATCAACAGGAGCAGCATTCCCTATGCCTGTAATGGCTGTGTATTATCGTGATTTCTTTTGCATCCTGTTAGTATTTGATCTTGTTTGGCTACATTTCTTAAGTGTTTCCATATTCAAATACTTTTAATTCTAAAAACGCCTTTCATGAAAGATTTCTTGAACAGTACATTATGCTTGTTAGTATAACTGGTAGTGTTTTCGTTTATAAACCTTGCTATTATTTGATGGATTAGCCAAAAATTGAAGTGTCTTACCCTTCCGGACCACATGGTCTAATCGTCATTTTCCCTGTTGTTGTGCGAGGGCAAATATTTTGCACCCATATTTTGCCCTCTTTGTATCGATTTGGATTTTGCATTAAGTATTCGCCAGCTTGTTGGTTTGTTTGGTTTTCTTTTTTCTTTCTTTTTGTTTTTTTGTTTGTTTGTATTTGATAATAGCTTAATCTGATTTTTGGTATGTCATTTGTTGTATCAAGTATCAATATTGGCAGGAAGAAATATTGTGATGATGCTACTGTTTGTGGTACTTTGCAGTATCAATTTATCTTAGAACAGTGTTGGCTATGAAGAAGAATCACACGGATTTAGTCGTTATGTCATCTGAGCTTCTGCGAGGATTTCCACGTGAAATTCACAAGTCGTTTACTCCAATGGAGGTCATTTCTATCACTACACTGGCAAATCCTCCTTACACTCCTTCAACGTCGATAGGATCTTTAGATGGCGACGAAGAATGCTCTCTTTGTAGAGAAAACGCAAGCACTCATCTTCATATTGCAAAGCCTATAAAGGAACAAGACTGGTGGTCAAGTCACGTGATAGTTATAGCCGACGCTATTTTTAATCATTTAAGGTGGTCTGAAGTACACATAATTTATGAAGAGAAAATGCGTGAGTACTTTTTCAGTGTGTTGTAAGAAACCGTGTATGTAACTTAAGAATATGTAACGGTTTCTGTCTTAAATCTATTGTTTATTATATGCAGTGATGTGTTTTCAATTTTTACGTTATTTCAGGAATAGCTTTCTATTTTCTTCAGGTTATTGGGAGATAACTACAGTTAAATGACTTTCGTAACCGGTTATGTTAAAACTGCCTTATTTATCTCTTATATTTACAGTTTGTTTTTCTCCTTCATTCAATAACGTTCTCGTTTTCATCCCATGTAGTTTTAAAACACGAAAGAGTGGAGAAATTAATTTATAAATTTCCATCGTTAAATCGACTATTGATACTACAACAAAACTAACAGCAATTAACAAAAAATTAAATATCTATGTAATTTCCTCGTAAAATAAAACTATTATATGAAATATTTTCACTGAGATTGGCATAAGAATAATTTGTTTTTAAATGTTTTTACACGGGAAAAACTAGCATTATAATGATAACGAACATTCCATAGGTTATAGACATTCCATAGATTATAGACATTCCATAGATTATAGACATTCCATAGGTTGTAGACATTTCATAGGTTATAGACATTGTATAGGTTATAGACATTCCATAGGTTATAGACATTCCATAGGTTATAGACATTCCATAGATTACAGACATTCCATAGGTTATAGACATTTCATAGATTATAGACATTGTATAGGTTATAGACATTCCATAGGTTATAGACATTTCATAGGTTATAGACATTGTATAGGTTAAAGACATTCCATAGGTTATAGACATTCCATAGATTATAGACATTTCATAGGTTATAGACATTGCGTAGTTTATAGACATTGCGTTGGTTTCATTACATATTATGTTAACAGTTATAAAATTATGTACTATATTTTTACCGCTAAATAGACGTTTTCTGTTAATTACTGCTGTGCTTATAGCATTCAATGATAAATATATTTTCGAAATTCATTATCATAACGGTTAAGTGTCTTCCAAGTTAAACTGAGTTGTAATATGTAAAGATGGTTAAATGGTCCAAACTTTTGTAGACAATGACCACTCAACATGTCACCATAGTAAATTATGACTAGATCTGAATAGAAAGTCACAAAATGAAGTATCAATAAATGATAACGATCGAATTGAAATAAAAAAATCTTGGTACTTGTATCATATTCAATTCTTTAATATTTTATTCTACTAAAAGTAACGATAGTCTAAACACTTGTTGTTTTGAAACTTGTTGTATCACTGACACAGTATACATCTTTGTCTGCGTGGAAGGAAGGAGAAAGAAGTTCTTTATTATTTTTTAAGAGCATCTTGTTGACTTACTGTTGGATCACTGGTCAGAGAACAGCATATTGTTCAACACATATATTGCCGAAAATATATCGGAATCCGATGTTGTCCGAGTTCTTGGGAGCTTGGATCGACATAGTAACCTGACGAAGGGTATTGCTAACTTCCTTCTCTTGTGTGAGGAGCACTTCACCTCCTTCATCCTGCGTTTGGTAAGGTATTAATCACGAAACAATCCAACGTTGATCTCATTGATAATCTTTTCACCAAATATCACATCCTTATCAAAAGATTGTAAATATAATATTATTGATTTAGCCATGATGTGTTCATAATATATTCTCCACAAACTGTTTAAGGAAATCTTAAGTATTGACAAATTAATTTATTCAACATCACATGAAAACAAATACCAAAAAGGTTATCTGATGTCACTGTTCAATACCAAGCAAACATTTTCTGTTTTGTCACTCAAAGCCAGATTTATTTTCTTGACACAGGCATCTGAATACTCTGTGGCGCAAGTTCGAAATTCCGCCATTCAACACCACACACGCTGGTTGGTGTTTCTGTTCAGTAATGAGGTCATTGGACGAAGACAGCTAAGCAATATATCTCTCGACAACTTGGCTGTTGTAGTACTGGACACTCAGGACAGGGTTGAACAGAAGGTTCATATTAGTTCAAATCTATTATGATAGATTACATACATCAGCTTATATGTCGAATTTATTTCATTCTTTCATTCTAAATTTGATTTTGTTAGATAAGAAAAAAATACAATTGGAAAAGATAACAGGTACAGGCTATATGAATCTTCTCCCTAAATTGACATGCAGAAATAAAAACCTAACAACCGACTTGTATTGATGGTGTGATGGTGATGAAATGGTAGAGTTGCCTGGCAAGGCAAAACGGTGCTGTAGATCGTGAGTTCGCTGCCTAAACAGGGTACGAGTCAGAAATTGTCATATTTCATCAGTTGTGTTACAATGTCCAAATATCACCAAGCTTGTAAATTAAAACATTGCATCATGAATAGTGATGTTGTTGATCAGAAGGACTCAGATTTGTCTTACCTGTCGTAAATGGAGCCGAGTTTGATATACAATGTCTATATCGTTTACGTTATTAATTAGATGTATCTTTCTGTTGTAGACATGCGATTTAATAGAAAGTATACTACTCGCAGATGAATGTGCAGAACATGGAACTATAAGTGGCACAGAGTTCCTTAAATATACCATCGCGAGGCTGTTTCATAATGTAAGAAACTATCTACACTAACGAAGTCACAGGGACATGTAGCAATGTTTCTGGGGAATGTGGGTTTGTATATTATACTACTACTAGCCATTACTTATGTGGTCTGGATTTCAGACATACCTTTGCCAGGGAAATCGTCATACTCGATACTCCAGAGGTTGCGATCACTTTCACACTCTTACTACTGGAACATTCCATTGCAAAAGCGAAGTATTTTGATTTGTCCAAGGAGAAATACCCTGAGCAATCACAGGCTGATACGCTCATTTTGACGATTACAAAGGAGCGATACCCAACTTCAAAGCCATTACAACATACCTCTGTGCGACCTTGAGATTCGTTTGATGAATATAAAAAGAATCACAGTAGCCTTTTCGTCGAGTCCACAAGGTGTCGCACACGGAACGTTCAATTTTGCCATGACATGTTCCAGGTGTACAGAGAGCGAAATTGGTCGTAACCCCTTGCGTATCGAGGATGGTAAATCGCCGGTCTTCCTTCACATTCACAGTGAGGGAAAATGCGTATTGCAGTATATTGTATTCTAAGTCATTTTTTTATTGTAGGTAACATATTTTTGACCATTTAGATACCGATGAAGTAAAAATTAGCTGAATCCCGGTGACTTTTCTGAGGCCAGTGATGTTCTCTCTGGTATTTCGTTGTTGAATTCCTTTAATAGTTATAGTATGCTATAGGCACCATCATCTCCAGAAACGTTGTTATAGGCTCCTGAAAACTGCCAGACTACAAAATGGTTCACCACCATTAATAATTGGAAAAAAATATTTAATATGGAAAATAAATTTATCAGTTATCTATCATATAAATGCTTTTTTGTTTCGTCTATTGTGAATATTGCACTTCTGCACTCATAGCCAAATAAAGTAAAATGTTTCTTCTTTTTAGAGCGGCAACACGTGTGGGAAGTTTGTAATACAGACTCTGATGTGGCGAGATGATGGCCGAGAGTTGTCACCAGTAGGTGCCGTCAGCTTAAATGGAGAAATCATTCTGCACTCAAAAATATTTCCTAATGTGGATTTTGGATTTAATCAAAGGAAATTCATCGTTTCAACGCAGCCGGTAAGCTGATAAGTAAAACATTCATGGATATTCATACAACTGACATGCTAAATATCCTAATTATCTGTCAACAGACAATAAGTCACGGAGAATGCATTGAAGACATTTCGGTTAAGTGCATTTCTTCCAAAAGATACATTTCAAATTTTGTTTTGTTGATATTTAATCTATAAGCACATTGACATATCTATACAAGCCGTGAGACAACTTTACTATAAAGTTATAAAGTATAATGCTTATTGTGGTACTGTAAACACCACGCAAATTTACTTAATATTCAAATAGAGAGGAAGAACTTGTCCCAAAGTGTAACACAGGCTAGTCAACCATTCTTCTTCTTCTTCGTCTTAGTCTACTTGGGAGATTCATTCTAAGTTTAGTAGTTTATGTTATGGAGAGAAAACGATAATTCATTTCCATTAATTTGACTTTTGTTTTGAAAGACAAAAGATATCGGATTAGTCGAATACTGTGTGTAGAACATGTTGAATGATACCTAAATGTTGTAGGTATTCCCGTTTGAGTTCAGGACTAATACATCCTTCGAGGGTCTGTGCATTGATCTACTGGAACAGTTATCGGTAGAACTAAACTTTACGTAAGTTTCGGTATATATGTATTCTACAGTTTTGTTTGATATTCGGTGAAATAGGCGCGTTCACACTTTTCACATCATCTCAAGTGAAATGATTGATTCAAAGGAATTCTGGTCATATAATATATTCTCTAACAGTAAACAATACGTTTTTACAGTTTTGAAGTGATTGTGTCCCCTGATGGAGATTTCGGAGTGATGCTGGATAACGACAGCTGGACAGGACTGATAGGTCAACTTCAGAGAAAGGTATGGAGCTCTATTGATAAATACAACAAAATATTTTCAATTTTACTGTGTTTTATATCATATTGATAGATATAAGAATAACGTATTAATATTGAATCCATCAATATTATATTTGTTTTATGCTTTACATTCGAGTACTAATATTTTTTTGCTTTTGAGGATTTCTTTAAAAAATGATTTTTATTGCTCGCTTGTTTTAAAATTGCATCACCCTTTCTCAAAGGAGTTTAACATAAATGTTATAGAAATAATAACTATTAACATAGAATTGTAAACGTTGTTTTAGGACGTAGACCTTGTGGCTGCACCACTGTCCATAACGATTCAGAGGGAACACGTTATGGACTTCATTCACCCATTTTTCCATGACCATTCAGTGGTTTTAATTCAGAAGCCCGACCCACAGGAAACAAAATGGCGGACATTGATTGATCCGTATAGTGACACTGTTATCATTAGTATCGGGCTGTCCTTGCCCCTGGCATCACTGGTGCTTGTAGCCCTGGAAAACTTCAGTCCTGTATACAACAATGAGGATAGACTACCAAACGAAAGTGACCTCAATTCCTTTTTGGGATCATTTTGGTACTTATTTGGAGCTCTGCTGACGCAAGGTGAATAGTTGATCCGCGCATGTCTGTTTTCTTTTAATTATACTCATATTTTACTATTTTTCCATTAGTAAAATTATGCTCTCGCCGTTTTGGAGGTATATATATATGTATGTATGTATGTATAGAGTTACATATATATATATTTGCTCACGCATCTTTCAAATTCTAAATCAATGTCACATATCCATGGTGACTTTCACGAATATATTTATATTGAGAGAGAGAGAGAGAGAGAGAGAGAGAGAGAGAGAGAGAGAGAGAGTTACATTTATACATAAAGAGTTGCTCATGCATTTTTCAAATTATAAATCAGTTTCAAATACCTGTTAACGTCGTTTTTATAGAGGTTTAAAGCAAACTTCATACAGAGGTCATTTATGACGCTGCGCTGTCATCATGCGATTGTTGTGTCATTTGAATATTGATTGAGTAGGACAGAATGGGATGTTACTAAAACGTTTTTTTTAATTGAAGCAATGCAATATGTGTCATTTAATACCTCTGTGTAATGAAATGAAATATTGGTTCTTAAAGTGATTAGATTTGTCTGCCGTCAAAGTCATATCATAAGTACATGCAAACATTTACACTTTCGTTACAAATTGGATTTTTTTTTTCATTTTGATTTCCTGTCGGAAGTATTATAATTATCAATTCAATCGTGATCTTACAGATCGACTTTGTTTGATCTAATATCCATAATAGAATGAAGGATTTGTTTCCACACGGGAACTGAATTCTCATGTAAACAGGAAACACGCCAGGAACACTGTTAGACAACTGATAGTGTACTATAGGACATCAGAAATGACTGACCGTCTAAAACAGCGAGAAAGAATATTTTATGTTTTCAAAATTTACCCTTTTTACCTATTTGAACATTTTTAACGACAATATTTCGAAGTATATCAGTTTGGTTTTAACCCTAGTTCTTTTTTTATATCTTTTTATTTTTTTCAAGCATTTTTTACAAATCATATTACAATGTCCTGGGACGCACTCATACAGATCCTCACAACACATCCACACAACCGTCTTCGTCTTCTTCTTCATCATCATCATCATCATCATCATCATCATCATCATCATCATCATCATAAACGGGCACTATCATTAAAATCATCATCACAAACATTCACTATCACCATCATCATCATCATCACCATCACCATCATCATCATCATCATCATCATCATCATCATCATCATCATCATCATCATCAACAACAAATCATTCAACATTATTTTCATCATGAGCCATCATCCTTATCATAATCCTCATCATTTTCAGGGGCCATCATCCTCGATGTCACAATCATCCTTAGGAATTTTCATCACCACCATCATTGATAGTGCTCTTTCCTCCTTCATCTACATGGTCATTTGGCATTAACATCATGACACTCTCATCCTCAAGAAACAAAAACACTATCCTTGTCATTCATAAACTCACCCAGCTTCACATTCATCCTTATTTACAGTTAATACCGTCATTGTCATCATAATCATGCGGTATCCTCTTCATATTGAGATAACTATTGACATCTATATACAATAAAAGATCCTCATCCTCACACACACACATACACATTCTAGTTAATTAAACATAATCTCCTTTACAGTGTACATCTTCCTTTATACTACATGCATGCAAATCAGATGCTGTTTACAGAGACAATGCTTTTTCATTACAGGAAATCTAAAACAAAAGAAGAACTAGGAATAAGTCAATGAATAAGTTCCATTCAGTATTTATTTTAGATTTAAATTACAATTATCTAGTGATTCCTGGTTTCAAGAATATCCAAATTCATATCTCAGGTAATGCTATCAATGTTCTCGGTGGAAAGTAGTTCCCAGGTCCAAGCATTACTAGCCTGCATCCTTCGTTTTGTTGAAATTTATGGGAGAAAATTAGTCAAACATATGCGTCGTTCATGGACATGAAAATTTGATTGAGTGTAGATGTTTCTTCCTGTCCATAGTGTATGAACCTGTTTGATTCTATTTATATCTATCTCATAACCAGCTGAAGGTTATATCAATCATTCCGTTGGTTCTTACAGATAAATTTAATTATGTTAATTGTTCAACAAAAGCAAGTGTGGTTTTCTGTCCTCATCATTAAGGTCACATGTGTATCGTGTCATGTTATGAAAAATTGTAAAAAACAAACCAGTGAGCAGCACCTGTAAAAGTAAATAGAAAATAGGGACACGAGTTATACCCCCTGTCCTGTTCACAATGTAAAGTAAAAACTATAGTCATTCTCTCTCTCTAGCCTAACTTGCGCACCTCAGATTCACAAAGACAAAACGAATACAGCTGTGTATATAGTTTGTTCACCAATCCAATTAATAAACATTGCATTTAGTTGGGGAAACCCGTTTCGTAATACGTCTCTAAATCGGACACACTGCAGATAGGGCGTAAGAATTGTACCTGCTGTCTCCACCAACCAAACTTGGTACATCTCTCTCTCTCTCTCCCGCGAGACCGTAATTGTTCTCTCTCTCTCTCTCTCTCTCTCTCTCTCTCTCTCTCTCTCTCTCTCTCTCTCTCTCTTAAAGCAATTTCTTTCTTTTTAAATCTCTTTTGACATTCCTCACTTTGGGTCTTTCGTTGGAACATACCAGAGTCTTTTAAAACAGTACATATTACTCATTGCTTAACGTTAAGCACTGTCGCAGAGTAATGACTGGTTTGCCGTTGTCAGTATAATTTCACTGACTGGAGTTTCATGTTGGGGTATATTGGGCAGTACATTTAAGTGAGCATGGTAGCAATATAAAGTCGACATCAGTATAAGGCTTAAACGAAGTTCGCAGTCTTCAAAAAGAACATGCACTCAAAACATGCACTTCAAATACACCAGGGGCCATCCTTAAATGACCATGGTTGTTGACAGGACGTCAAAAAATATCAAATCAAACCAAACCAAATATTCTGAAAAAGCATGTTAGAAATCATCAAGAAATACCAACATGACAACATAATCATAATCCAAATTCAAACTCCATAAAACTGAGGCAAAATATTAACAAAAGAATGATTTACATAGAAAATCCTGAAAAAGTACAAGGAGAATACGACCAGATGTTCCAGAAGAGTAAGCGTCTTCTGCTTCATCGACGTCTCCTGTTATGTAAACATTATTCAATCCAAGTGAGTATTGTCACATTCTGAAATCAAACACGTCCAGCTTCATATCGCGCAAAGAACTAGAATATTTTTTTTCCAAAATCGTCCTGTAATGTCTGCGTACTGGACCATAGTGGTCCTTAAGATTCCGTTATAACGTTATAATACATGTCATTATATCCGATGTACTGTCGCTGTCAATCTCTATGTTAAATTATATATTGTAACTATTACACCCCTTCAGGTGGCAAGTATACTCCCCAAGCCTTGTCTAGTCGACTTTTCGTTGGAATGTGGTGGCTCTTCTGTATCATATCTTTGGCGACTTACAGCGGAAATCTCATCGCTTCTCTCACGGTGTCAAAGGAGAAATTGCCATTCAAGTCGCTCAAAGAGATGGTATCGCAGGACAGGTTCACATGGGGAACGTATGGTGGAACAGTATTCGTCACTATGTTTAAGGTATGGTACATGCTGTCCGCGGATAAATGGATTGATAAATTTGCATGGAAAATATAGTTATTGTGCAATATATTTGCCACATGAGTATACCGTGCGGTATGTAAAATTCACAAAAGTATTTCCATTATCGAATTTTATCTGGGTAGGAGACATATATAATCAAAATTTAGTACACATAACAAACTCTGAAGAACTTTCGCCAGATGTTGTCTCCTGCTCCGCTCAAGATTCTCAAAAAAAGACTGCCCTCTACGACTTTGTACTCCAGTTGAAATAATATAAATATTTCGTTCCTTCATCTGTCTCCATTTACACTGTCTTCAGCTAGTTGAAATTAATCGGTTAAAAGATTACCTAATTGTTGATGACAGCATTTTCCTGTGACGTCATACCTGAAAAGTCTGATACATATGATCTTCGAAGGAGAAGCCAAACAGAAATGCACGCTTTTAAGTTTGAATCAAACAAAAAATAAAAAAAAAACAAACTTTCTTGCTTTTACTTCATGTTTACTCCTAACTTATATTACAAACATGCTTTGTTTATTCTTTACTCATTAAAAGGACTCAGTAATACCAGAGTATAATGCAATCTGGCGAGGCATGGTCCGGTTTAACAGCACTGATCCCTCCGTCCTCAACAAAAACCCCGACCAACACATGCAGAAAGTCCTGGGTGGTCACTACGCCTATATAGCGGCCAAATCAGAGGTGGACACACAGATGACCAGACAGTGCGGACTAGCAACCATTGACGAGAAGTTCCTACATATGCAATACGCATTCGGGATGCCCAATAACTCACCCTACACTGATATATTTTCTCTTAAGTACGTACTTTTTATGTTGTCATTGCGATTTGTGATACTTTTAACACAGCTGAGCCATTATAATATCACATAGATTCACAGTTAAGGTTCTCAAACATTGTAAGTTAAAATCCATGATTAGGAAGTCGTTATTTCCATTTGCGAGCTTTTTTTTTTTTTTTTACAATTTTTATAATTAAACAGGTTTTTTATTTTATTTTTTTTTTATCTTAAATATAATGATTGTAATCTTGATGAAATTTTGGACGGATGTGATTCTTTTTCGTTTAACGATGAAACACATCACTTTCGATCCAAAACTTAAAACAACGTGAAACGTACAGTTATCTTTTTTCATAGTTGTTACTTCTGGTATCGTTACGTTGTAAGGATGAGATGACAGCCCTTCATATATATATTGTTTGTATACTAAAGGGGTTTATGGTACGCTGGTGTATACTTCAGCAGTGCAGACACTGAAGAGTTATCTCTCTTTGTTTAACCGTTTATTTTCAGTAGATATGACAACCTGATTTTGACTCTACAATAATACACTGGCATTGTACAAAATTTTATAGCTCCTTCCAATACAATCAATACAAAAAAGTATCTATTCAGTGTAAATTGGTTTTAATATTAACGACTTTCAATTTTCATGAAATAATTTACAAGGCTGTACAATACATAATGTCCGTGTCCTTTATTAGCTTGCGAAATTATGTTTCACATAAGAGTTTCTTCAGGTGTGCGTATATTCTTAGAATTTCATGCCTATCAGCATTTGGAATTATATGATAGAACACCCAGTATCACGAATATCAACATTTTAACCAATAATGAAAATCGCATACCAAAGTATTGTACGTAGTAAAAGCTACCATTACTGATTCTCCTTTGGTCTATCACTGAACAACATTATGTAATGAATAAAGAGGGAATCAAGGAATATTGTTTATGAATATTCATATTTTAGATCAATAGAATACACTTTTTGTATTGTTTTATCATGTTAACTAAGTAATATTTATCTTTGCATAGAGGAAACTAAATTCCGACGCGATGAAACGTACAATTTTTAAACGTCGCTGATAATGCACATCAAATATGTCTCACCATATATTAACACAAATAAAAAATGGATGGGGGAGAACGGTGGGGGGAGGGGGGGGGAGTGGGGTGTGTGTTGGAGGGGACATCATCGAACGCCGTTCTGCATTTCATACCTTTTCTTTTCATCTTTACTACGATTTATGTGTTACAGAATTTTGAAGATTTTGGAGAGTGGACTTATGAATATATGGGAGAGAAAATGGTGGGCACGACAGAAGTTATGTTATGAGGCGACATGGGACCAGCGTAAGGTTATAAATCTAATGGACGTACAGAGTGCTTTCTATCTAATAGGTATAGGGATCGTGTTGGCTATACTGGTGTTCTGTTTGGAATGGATATGCTTCAAAATTATCCAGACTAGGAAGAAACCACAACCTGTAAACTCACAAACTGCAGAAATATCAACATTACCGGTGTGATGTGTTTTAAATGTTTCCTTACATACTTTATCGTTTGATCTAATGTCTCTCTCCTTGGTGATGTCTCAACGCCGATGACTAAATGAGGATTATGACATCACAATCGGAACTTCACAAACTTTTAGTTAATCGCAGCAGCGAAAATACATTACACGCGTGTGTTCATTAATCAACTTTATATAATGGTGTTATTGTACTGATAAAATTGTACCCATGTTATTGAAAGAGTGTTTAGTATTATTTTTTTAATTTTACATGGCATTCGTTGTACCCGAGACCTCTGTAAAGATTTACTGTATCAGAGACGTCGCTGTTCATATTCCCCGGAACTGTAACTGGCTTAGGGAGATTGTCAGATTTGGTGACATTGGACGTGTCCCTTACTGCTATCAGCTAAGAATAGAAAGTAAAATGATTTTAAAATTTAACTGATATATTGATCGTCAGTATATGGCTTGTCGTGAACTAAATAGATAAAGAACAAAAAAAGAGGGAGGGGCTTACACAGATATACCTATACTACCAGATTTAATTCCTTTTTTTACCTTAATTAAACTAAATCTGACGAGTACGGTTGCTGTTTTGTTCCATTTTGCCATTTCGTCTTTTCGTGATGGAAAGATGAAAGAACGATAATTAACAGTTGTATTCCTCGTCCATTTGCGGCGAAAAGACGAAATCGCGAAATGACAGCTATCAACCACCGTAGCTGAGATACTGCTTTAGATATATATCAGAAGCTCATTATGGCAGCCATGACGCTGATTTTGTAACATGATTGCGCAATCATGGTTTTCTTGAACGACACCTATTTAAAGTTTCTCAGCTTGTTTGGAATGATTCTGGGTTATCCTGATCAAGTATTGTTATTTTTGATATCTGTCCGAATCAAATATGGTCGCAATGGCCACCATCTAGAAAAAAACATACATTAAAATTTTTTTTTTCAAGTTCCATCGATGTCATTGAACTGAAAATTGGTCGGAATGTCAATACTTGCTTGAATTGATCCTGAGATAGTCCTGATCAAATGGTGTTATTTTTAGGGGTTGTCCCGAAATCCAAAATGGCCGCCATTACCGCCATTTAAAAAAAAAAACAGTTTAAAATTGATCTGAAGTTCCACTGATGAAATTTAGCTGTCATTTTGTGGGACTGAGAGACTGAGATGACAACTATCAGCCACCGTAGTTAAGGTATTTGCTTTAAAGATGGTGACCGTTAATCTGTTTCCTTCAAAATGGCCGCCATTACCGCCATTTAAAAAAAAACAGTTTAAAATTCATCTGAAGCTCCACTGATGCAATATCATTCTTCTATCATGTTTTACACCTTCATACACTACTTCTTCATCAACTGATACTACTGGTAGCGCCGTTATATGTAAATGACTGATTTTGAAACTTTACTAGATACACACATCAGCTAATTCGTGATAACATATACCCTGACCACAAAGGTTAGGATGACCTATAGCCATCGTGTTTCGTCCGTCGTCGTCCGCCGTCCGCTTAACATTTTACTTTTTTCCTCAAATTCCACCTGTGGGATTGAGTTGAAACGTGTCTGAAATTACCCCGAGATGGTCCTAATCAAGTGTTTAGGGGGTTGATCCGAGATCCAAAATGGCCTCCATGTCCGCTAAATTGCATCTTGGAAAACATATTTGTGTCACTGGTGGCATTGAGCTGAAAATGGCGGGAGTGTTGAGAAATAGATCTGATCTATCTTATTTATTTACCTTTTTTCACTTATTTTGATAAGAGACATGTAATAAAAGTTTAATATAAAAGTGCAAGAAGAAATTTTATCGAAAACCATCTGAAACTTGACCCGGATTAATTTTATTAACTTATTACATTTTGACAGACCATCAAAGAATCTTTACATTAAAAGATCACAAGAACTGTGGAAGTTATGTTGATATTACGTCGTCAGCAGAACACCAATGTGACCAAAATTGCTCCTTCCTTATTCCAGTGTTCTGCTGCCTTATAAACATTTCTATCAACTCGTTTCCACATAATCTATATTCTTCTTTAGGTACCGCAATCCTCAAAGCTACATTTACTGATTGGGAGAATACATTATCCAGCCAAACCTAAAAACGTTATATAAGTATATTTCATGTCGTATCATGGATTGTGATCTGCTTCACACGAATGTAATACACCGTTTTCGTTAAAATACAAAGTACAAAATACTCGAGAACAATATATTGTAAAATGTCCATGTAAATTGTAATCGTTTGTGGAATAACATGCATTAAATGTCACAGAAAAATCTTCATGAAGTTATATCTGATTTGCTTTGATATTTTGGGATCGATAGCAGTCATTTTACAATACTCTACATTCCTGTTTCTAAACTTTTACAATGCTTAACATTCCTGTTTCTAAACTTATACAATGCTTAACATTCCAGTTTCTAAACCTTTGTTTCTCGAATGAATTAGTTCGTGGAAACACAGTAGAGAGACAAAGAGCAATGTTTTCCGGTATGGAGAAGCTCCGATTAAAAAAAAAACGACAAGTGGTTTCGAGGTCCAGTGTTTTTCAAAATCGCCTTGTAAAATGTATTCTTTTTTACGTCCTCGACAGACGGATGTAGTAATATTATTTTTCTTGATGATGAGCCCGAAGAAAGCCTTTCTATGTAAGTATCAAAATTCATACGTCCGTAATAATTCATGTGTAAAATGGTATATTTGAAAAAAATATCGTGTCCTGTGTGTTCCGGTAGGGCCACCTTACTCGCTACCAAGAGAGCGGTGAGTACAGGTCAGTAGCGTGCATGACGGACATCGTGTCTACGTGGTAAACCTATATCTGTCGTCCAAAAACATGATGTTACGCCCAAAAGACAGATTAAGACTGTGGTACGTATCATGCATTTGTTTACACTTAGTTCAGAGGTAGCATTTCGTCTATTTTATTTCCAACTTCGGTGAATAGTTGGTGTAAACATACATTTCAGTGAAGCGTGACGAATTTTGTTTGTCCAACGATATATACCCGATATGGACAGGTTAGTGAAATGATCAAGTGAATGGGCCTCGAATGCATGTATACGGATTATGGAGTGGAACTTAAACCTTAACAAATGTTGTCGTTACGTAATAACAACAGTACGGGCAAGTGAATTGTCAATTTTTCGATACAACCTGCCCCTTTAGACTAGACACTGAGTTTATAGACATACACGCTCAGTATCTAGAGTGCAAAACTTATCTAGATTTATGTAAAATATTTTTGATATTTTAATCACTATCTTACATACAACAACTTGGGATATTTTTCTGCCCGCTATAAAGGGCCTTCGGTGTCCATCGGCCGAAGGGATTATCGCAACCACTCTCGCTTAAGATTTATAACTTTGTATTTGTTTTATGGTCTATGTATGTGATGTAATTTATGTAATATTTGTGTCTTGATAAAGGGTCAGGTTGCCTCGAAAGTTTGACAATTCACCTGTCCGTACTGTTGTTATTACTTCATTGATCATATATCTATCCCAGTAATACACATCCAACGAACATTTGTTTGTTACGATCCAGTACCAATATTGGACCACACCGTCGATATTACTTACTAGATTCTATATATATATGTGTAAACATAAAAGGCCAACAAGGCAAATAAACTTGATTATCGCTAACGTTTTCAAGCCGTGTCTCGGCTATCTTCAGGCGATTACGGCTTGAAAACGTTAGCGATAATCATGTTTATTTGCCTTGTTGACCTTTTATGTTTACATATTTAAACGATACACAGCGTTACAACATTACAACTTTAGTTTAAATTCAACTTCAGAATAAATATATAGTATACATATACACTGTAAAATTTTAGTGATACGTTTATCCATATATGGTATTTTTAACGTGTAAATTCACTCCTATTTTGGTGTAAAATTTATGGTTACACCATTTCTGATGTAAAGTTAATCACAACAAAGAAAAGTGTATAGTATACCGACATTTGGTGTAAATGCGTTATCTTACACCGTAAGGGGGTGACTTTACACCAAATTCTCACCGAAAAGTGTTACTTTACACCGTAAGAGAGGGACTTTACACCAGAATCTCACTTAAAAGTGTTACTTTACACCGTTGAGAGTGACTTTACACCAGATTCTCACCTAAAAGTATTACCTTACACTGTGAGGGAATGACTTTACACCAAATCGATACCTTTAATGTTACCTTACACCGCACGGGTGCGGCATTACACCAAAGTTTCACTTATAAGTGTTACTTTACATAGTAAGAGAATGACTTTTACACCAAATCAGTACTGAAACCTGTCACCTAACACCGTGTGGGGCGACGTTACACCAAATCGTCACCGATAGGTGTTATCTTATTGCCGCACGGGACTGTCTTTACACCAAATCGTCTCTGAGAAGTGTTACTTTACATGTTAAGCCTTTACAAATCACATTTAGATGTGTTAACTTACACCGTAAGGAGTGATTACTTAACACCATATTCATTGAAAGCGTAAGCAGAGATGTCTGTGGTGTAACTTTACACCGTGAGGGACACTCGGACACAAAATCAAATCCTCACTTAACAATGTTAGTTATAGGCCTATTTCCGTCCGACAACGTTGTGGCCCTCCGTATTGCAAGATAAAATATTGTGTAGCGTTCCATTTTGGGTACAGTATACGTAGCCTCACGTTAAATGTCATTTGATTTTGCCTGTTAAACCTGGGTTTATAAAATGTGGACATAGATGCATGTTTGAACGAATCGTTCTGACCGCTAAATGAACAGGGCTCCAGCTGCAAAACCCGGGTCACTCAGATGCTTTTAAAGCGTTTATGCGAGTAAGATGCTGAAAAACCGCTCACTTTACGCTAGTCATAAGATGTTTTGACTTCCCCAAGTCGATATTACCAGTATGTCCACAGTCTAGTGATGCATGATCTTTGTAAATTCTTGGGTTTCCTGTCTGTGACAGTACTTATGATGGCCACCATACCATGGATGCATGG